AAAATAAATATCAATTTTTATATTTTTTTATATTAATTAATTATAAAATAATATATTTATTATACCTTTAATATGTACAAGTATAAGTTAGATAAATTTATTTAAAAAATAAGTATATAAGTCATAAAACCATGCAATTAAGGCAAATTAAATAATCCTTAAACATCTATAATTTCTGTTAATTTTAATTGATGTGGGTGATAAAAAAAATCACTATTATTAATACACATTTATTTTAACATGTGCTTGTCGGGTAGAGATTAAGACTAAAATTATTACACATTTTTTATATTAATTAATATTGTCAAAAATTATTATTAATTTTATTATCAATGTCATGTAAATCATTTTAATTAAATAATTACTTAAATAAAAGTTAATATTTATTTTTTAATATTAATTAATATTACTCCTAAACTTGTGCTAAAAAAAACCTTTAAAAAATGAATTCTTTCAATTTAATTATTAATTTCATTTAATTCTCACATTAATACACAAAGATCAAGTGTTCCTTTTAATTATTCGCATTAGGCAATATGTTAACAAAGGGTTAATTGCCACAATTTGCGCGGTTCAGGGAGCTAATTGCTTGTTTATATTTCAGGGGGCTATAAGCCAAAATGGGATAAGTTTAAGGACTTATAAAATGGTTTCGCCGAGGACAGAGATTTCTTAATCAGGCTCAGCCCATTCTGCTGTTCTGTGTCCGTACCTTGGAGAGAGCGGGTGGAGTAGACCCAAGGCCCACCACAACACACATGAAAGGGTAAAATCAGTTGGGCCCATAATTGTCTTCTTTTTTTCTTTTTTCTTTTTTCTTTTATACATTGAAAGTTTTTTTTTTTTTTTATTAAAAATTTTAAATTAATGAATATTAATTTGATGAAATTTTTATTAGTTTGTCTCTCGAATTAGGAGGTTGGAAGCAATTTAAACAAAATATAACAATTTTTATATAAAAATTAAAAATTAAGTGACTAAAAAAATAAATAACTCTGCCAGAGCATACCACCAACGTACGTGAGGATGATGAACTATTTTTACTTATTCTTACTTCACCTTACCATTTTTTTTTTAAAAAAAAAAACATATTTTAACCATATTATTGTAATGCCAAGTTGCCAACTTTGGGAAAAGCCTCCACAAAAGTCCTTCGTCAGGCTTCTTTTCGGTATATACTAATCTACCAAAACCGAAATTAGAAATTAATAATCGCCCCGTTGAATTAGGTCTTGATACTATTTTGGCAAATTCCAGCTAATGACTCTCTTCTTAATTTATTCTAATGTTTATTATGTTATTCCTATGAAGGAAGAAAGATTTGCTTTTCATTGACTACTAATATTTGATTAAGTTGGCTCATAAATATATTTTGACCGTTTAAAAAAAATTAGGTATTACAGGAAGTTGAGAAAAAAAAAAAAAGACGTGTGAAGTGAATTTAAATGATTATAAACATTAAAAAACTACTTTTACAGTAGCAAAAATCAATCAATATTTATTTTGCATAAATTATGAAAAAAATTAATAAAAAAATAAAATTATATATTATTGTAATATAAAACATAATACTTTTCATATTTCTCCATTTAAAAACTCTATACATTATG